ACAAGTCAAAGCTGAGCATCAAGTGCCAAGTAGATTATTGCATCCGCCTACCATTCCTGAATGGAAGTGGGAACAAATTACGATGGACTTTGTGATCGGACTTCCATTGTCAATCAAGAAGAATGATGCAATTTGGGTAATCGTTGACTGATTAACCAAGTCAATTCATTTCATAATGATTCGACATGATACGTCATTGAGAAGATTGGAAGAATTGTACATCCGTAAGATCGTAAGATTACATAGTGTGCCTTTTCCTATCATCTCTGATCGTGACCCTCTATTCACGTCATAATTTTGGAAGAGTCTGCAGAAAGCGCTAGGTACTAAAATAAACTTTAGTATGGCATTTCACCCTCAAATAGACGGACAATCTGAAAGTACAATCAAAATCCTAGGAAATATGATGAGGGCATATGTGATCAATTTTGGAAGGAACTGGGAACAATACCTACCATTAATGGAGTTCACTTATAACAACAATTATCAAGTGAGTATCCAAATGACTTCGTAGAAGCCCTGTATTGAAGATGTTGTAGAACCCCAATATGCTGGACTAAATTAAGCCAGCAAAAGCTTGAAGGGCTTGATCTCATCCGAGAAACTGAAGAAAAAGTTCGTCTGATAAGAGAGAGACTGCAAATGGCTTTTGATCGACAAAAATCTTATGCTGATTTAAATGTCGTGAGATTGAATACATTGTTGATGACATGGTGTTTTTGAAAGTCTCGCCGTGGAAAAAACTGCCTACCGGTTAGGAAGAGAAAACTACCATGGGTATATTGGACCTATCGAATCACTGAACGTGTGGGACCAGTAGCCTACCGGTTAGAACTTTCAACAGAACTAAACAAGATTCACGATGTATTCCTTGTGTCAATGCTAAAACATTATCGCATATTTTGACCGATGGAATTGTAACTCTCGATGAAAGTTTGACCTATGAAGAAGAACCTATCCGAATTGTGGCACGAGAAATCAAAGAACTGAGAAACAAAAGAAGCGACTTAAGAAACTAAAGAGTCAAGGAGGACACAATATCAGAATCTCTTCAAATAATGACTCAGGTAATTTTGAGGACAAAATTATTTTAACAGGGAGAGAAATGTAACACCCCAAAAATAAGTGTTTTATAAAGTTTGTCAATAAATAATGGAAATTATATCATTGCATAGAGTTTGACTGTCTGGTCACAATGGTACAATCAGATTTCAATTTGGAGAAAGTTGGACCAAAAAGTGTTCCCCGACTGGGACTGAAATTAGTCACAATCAGGGACTTGCATTTGAAATCAGAAGAGATCGTCACCCCCTCCACTAACGCCGAACAAACAGAACATAGGGATAGCTCATATGTCTTCTTCCTCTCCTCTCCACTATATAAACTCCCCAAAACTTCACCATTTTTCACCATTCTTACTCATTTTGAGCGCTGTGAGTATAGAGAGCAAATGTAGTGCTATCCATAGAGCTTCCCATCGCCGGAGCAAGCCGTGGTGTTCGCTGGAAGTTTTTTCGTTCAATCGCCGGAATCATCATTAAGCTCTGAGGTAATCCATTAGATATATCTAGTGCTTAGAATGTTCGTATAGATCGTTTCTACGTTCATAAATGGTCGTCTAGTTGAGTTTTGTGTTTGACATGTTTGAAGAACCAAGAATCATAAACCTCTATAATGTTGTTAAAACTTCGAATTAATAATGCCAAAATGATCTATGAACCTTGGATAACATTTCTACATAATTTAATTAAAGTTTGGTGACCTAAAATGAAGTTGGAGCAAAGTGGTTGAAGGTAGGATACGATGAATGATAACTTTATGTGTTTTATGCTTCAGATGATCGATCATGGGTGCTGGATCGATCACATGGTGATCGATCACAGCGCTTGGATCGATCACCTGAGCTGCCTGATCTGATATTTTTTCTAGAAAATCCGATTTTTGAACTATAAAATCCTATTTTTGATACCAATCAATTATGATCAATATAGAAATGATTTCTGGAAATAAATATGATATTTTGATGATTGCAAGAACCTTGTTTGATGTATGACAGTAAGCTAGGGTGTTAACACTCGACGCTAGGCCTCTATTTGTTATTGGGTATTATGATGATTATTATTGATTGATGATCATGATGAATATTATTGATTAATGATTATGATGATTATGCTTTGATGAATATTCTGAATAAAATGATGATTATGAATTTTTGGAATATGATTCAAAATAAAGGGATTGATGAGAAATGAATTATATTGTTAAGACTATCAAAAAACCTCTAAGATAGACCTCAGATTAGAATATGCCTTGCGGGTATAAATATGAATATTTGGTGGCCTGGGTAAAAACGTACGTACGGGATCCGCAAACCAAACTAGAGGATCACTCGTTTGGGGATACCACTCAACCCGACAGTGAGCATTCTATTGTTCGGTCTCTGGTGTACCTTAAGCAAAGGCTACTTTAAGAGATGGAAAACCTTTCTAAAAATTGCATCTTAAACTAGACTAGCTTAAGGGTTGGTAAGGAGTACCTTAAACAAGAATATAGTTTAAGAGTTGGTTAAGAGTACCTTAAACTAGAATATAGTTTAAGAGTTGGTTAGAAGTACCTTAAACTAGATTTAGTTTAAGAGTTGGTAAACATTAAAGTGATTGGCCTTAGACTAAGAACAGTTTAAGGGTATTGTTGAATAATGATTGTTGAATATAAATTTGAATATTGAATATTGAATGTTGAATATGGATTATTCAATGCCTGAACTTAACATTATGTGAATGATATCAAATGATTTGATTATGAATTGAGATTCAATTTATATGGATGTTTGATGCATTAGATATCCTTACTCAGCTTCACTGCTGAGCGTATAGTATGTTTTATTTGCTACACGCATGAACACAGAATGAATGAAGTGACTATTCCTGGCAGCAGATGGGGCGAGATGGTCAGGATGGATGTGTGAATTTGAATTACTGTTCTAAAATACATAAATTTATTATGTTCTGTAATTGTGATTTATTACGTTTCCAAAACTTTAAATACTCCATTATTATTCTGAATAATTTATTATGAAATAAAGTTTTAAAATTTTTGAAATATTTTGAATGTTTACAAATACCGAGTTTATACTTTAGTCCGAAAGGGGCTGCAGACCTAGACTAATTAGAGTGTTACCTAAATACCCCACACTTTACCAAAGAATCTTTGAAGAATGCTTTTTTAAGTTCAAGATTCAATATATTTTCTAAAATTGTATTTTAGCAGCTTGTTGAATACTCTTTCAATGTCTTGAATTCTAGATTTTTTTACTCAACTTATCAAACCAACACCTTTGATTATATTATATTTTCACAGAAACTACTACCTCATATCTTATTTTGAATTCTAAAAAGGTAGTAGTTGACAACTGTCTTTCAAACTCTATATCCATATGTTCTTCCAGATAGTCTTTAGAGTGCTGGGTATACTATTTTGTTATTTGCGCTTTGAAAGTAAAAACCCACACAAGGACTTATAGATCCTTATGGACTTGATCACTTTGTTGAGAGCCTCTTTGAATGGTTTGAGCTTCATATATATATTTGGCAAACTAGACTATCATTTGCCTTAAAATAGAGTTGATATTCTTGGTTTTGATTTTAGGTTCGAATAATCTCGCGTCCCCTTCTCTCTTGGCTTATCTCTTATTATGTGCTTTGTTGATCCCCACTCCTCTTCTCTCTTGGATCAATTATGTTGGGGTGCTTATTGCACCTTTGTAATTAAATCCCCACCCCCTTGTTCATGATATTTATTAGTTGGTGTGTGTATGATTATTTGCCATCGTTCTTCATTTCTTTATCTTGTGTTGCATTGTGAGCAATGCATTGTTTAAGTGTGGGGGACGCTTTCTATATTTAGGTTTATGTATTTTAAAAAACAAACCATACACAAACCACAAACTTTGATTTGTTGGGGAGAATCTAAAATTTTGCTTATTAGGGATCAAATTTCAAAATTTTAATTGAAAGAAAACTTTCTGCATGCAAAATGTGCAGAACTTTGAGCTAAAATATGATGAAATCTGATTTTGCATGCACTTTTGGGTTAAATGTTTGCATAGAAGTTTGATTTTTGCATTCTTGGATACTTTTGAGTCCAAAATCTGCATTCTAGGCAATTATTTAGTGAAACTTCAGCAGCTTTTTTTTGGTATTTTTAAACTCGTAATGCTCATTTTAAGAAGAGGAGTAGTTCAATGTGAATTCTTGAAGCCAAAATTGAATTTGAAAAATGTTTACTTCATATAGCTTTGACATTGCCTCACATGCATACTTGTGTAAGTTATTTTTAAAACATAGCTTTAACATAATTTCACTTTGTCTTTTGTCCAACTTTTGGTTGAGGTGTGAAGAGACCAAGGGTACAAGGTACAATTTCCAAATTTTAATGATGCTTGTATTTCACTTCAGCTTACTTGACTACTTTGTTTTCTCTAAAATATTGAAAATTGAGCTTCCAAGGTAATACACTTTTTTTAAAAAAAAAGGGAAGCAGAGGCGGACCCACCTTGAGTCCTATGGGGTCCCGGGACCCCACGGACCCCGGTGTAGGTCCATATAGGTATTAAGTTTGTGAAAATATTAGTATATAATACACGCATAGCTCCTTGTCAACAGAATTGTATTTGGTGTATTGGGAGCGTGTGGAGCATTGAAACCAAGATACCCGAGTTTGATTCTCGTTTCGGTCCTCTGGAGTTAGTTTTTTCTTTTTTTATCTTCTCCATCTCTGTTTTCTCTGCAAAACGCGTATCTTATCCGTCTCTATTTTCTTTGCAAAACCCATCCTTTCCTCACCCCTATTTTCTTTGTAAAATTGACCTCTCTTCCCCAATTCTCTATTTTGAATTTTTGATTCTGAACCCTAACTTCTGCGATTCTCCGTCTCTCTTTCTCGTCACGCGCCGGCCTCTGTTCGCCGTTCCACCAAAATTCGACCACACTCCACAGTGGCAGTCCCGACAGGTAATTAGTCTAAAAAACTTTTTTTTATTTTACTAAAATTAATTTTTTTGGTAGTTTGAAGTTTGATATATGATTAGTAATATATAAATATATAATAATTTATAAATTTATTTTTTATTCATTACTTATTAATTAAAGAATCAAAGTTTTTTCTTCAATAAAAAATTGATTTAGAATTGCAAGTGATAAGTATTATTGTATTAATGTTCATTTTATGTCTAATTTATGTAATTAATATTAATTTTTTATTTACAGAATTTAAATGCAAAGGTACTTCAAAAAGCTACCCGAATTCAAAGATTCGGAGTTGAGTGCAATTGGTAATAGTGTTAGTGCTCCGGTATCTCGAGTACAATTGTAAAGGATACTATTTTCGAATGACTTTATTTCTATGTATTAATTATGGTACTTTTCAAATGTTAGTTTTAGTTTATTGTTAAATGTTAAGACTGATAAAGTAGTATGAGATGAGAATGAGAGGTAGAGGACCCCATCGTTGTAAAATCCTGGATCCCCCTCTGAAGGGAAGCAAATACAAGTTTGGCTATTTTCTTTGGGCTTTAAAATGTTTGAATAACTTTTAGTGATTGAGATATCTCTAAAGTATCAAGCCTTGGGTTGGAGTCCTGAGTCCTAACCCGAGATGGATTACTTGGATTTGTCGTTCTCAAGTTTCTTGAATTTGAGCATGTTTAGGAAATACGTTTTGGACTTGGCATGGGTGGAACGCTACCTTTGTTCCCTTAAGTAATACTCCCTCCGTCCCATATTTGTCCAGATTGACTTTTTCAAGTCAAACTGGACAGACTTTGAGCTTCAATTAAATAAAAACCGTAATGTATTTTAACATAAAAATGACTTTATTGGATTTATCTTATTGAGAACTTTCAAAATTGTATTTCATTATGCTAATATGAAATATAAATTGAGAGTAATTGGAGTTCAAAGTTTGTCTAGTTTGACTCGAAAAAGTCAAACTGGACAAATACACTAAGACGAAGGTAGTAACACTAAAAGGAGGCTGTGAATGGAGAGAAGTCTGATTGGAAGAGAAAACCCCTTATTATGGGTCGTCCAAATATCAAAAAACCTTAAGCATGTTCAAACTTGAGCACCTCTAGTCATGAAAGAGTAATTCCATCATAAGACCCACAAATGTGGCTTATGATTATGCGTTTTAACCTGTCTCGAATAAGTCTTTTTATCTCTGTTAGGAAGCCCTTGGGATTTTCTTATCTAGTTCCCAGGCTGATTCAAAAAGGGCCAGGGGTAGCTTGGCTCAACTCGTTAAATGAGAGTATAGAAACTATAGTTCAAGAATTTGGGGTTGCATTTCCGATTTCCAGTTAGGATGATTGGGACTTTGTAGATTTTGTCCAAAGAGTGGGGTTCTAGTGACACTGGAAAACGGTGCCACTGGTTTTTTGGGGCACCTCTGGTGCTCCGTTCATAAAATTGACGGTTCCTACCCCCCCCTAACACACCCCCTAAACCCCCCACCCTACCCTCACTCCTGCACCCCCACCCCAACCCCACTTTAAGCCCCCCACAAAATGTGTGGCTATTTTGAGTAAGGCCAATTAAACCAATTTTGACTCTGTTAAAGTCAAACACCCAAAAATATGATGTCGGAAAAAGTATTACAAATAAATATAAAAATTATATCGTTAGATAGAGTTTAACTGCCCGATCGCAACGGTGCAAACGGAATTCAATTCGGAGAAAGTTGGACCAAAAAGTGTACCCCGACTGGAACCAAAATTGGTCCCAATCAGGGACACTGTGCGAACGGCGCCTCCCAGCGCACTAANCAATTAAACCAATTTTGACTCTGTTAAAGTCAAACACCCAAAAATATGATGTCGGAAAAAGTATTACAAATAAATATAAAAATTATATCGTTAGATAGAGTTTAACTGCCCGATCGCAACGGTGCAAACGGAATTCAATTCGGAGAAAGTTGGACCAAAAAGTGTACCCCGACTGGAACCAAAATTGGTCCCAATCAGGGACACTGTGCGAACGGCGCCTCCCAGCGCACTAAGCCGATTGTGAATCTTCCTACGCTCAGCAACCAGTGTCTTCTTCTTCCTCAAAATCTACTATATAAAGGGAGCTAAGGATTCTCAATTCTTCACCAAAACCTATACTTCCTTGTTCTATTCTGTTGCTCAAAGTAAGGAGAACGCAGTGGTGCTGTCAATTTGGTGAGAGGTCGCTGGAGCAAGACGTGGTGTTCGCCGGAAGCTTCGCCGGAAAATATTCAAAACCTTCATTTACCTTTGAGGTAAGCCCGTAGATATATCTAGTGATTAGAATGTTCATATAGATCGTTTCTACGTTCATAAACGGTCGTTTGGTTGAGTTTTGTGTTTGACATGCTTGAAGAACCAAGAATCATAAACCATGAAATTGATGTTAAAACTATGAATTAATGATTCCAAAATGATCTATGAACCTTGGAGAACATCTCTATATAGTTTCGTTGAAGTTCGATAACTAAAAACGGTATTTCCGAAATTGGACCCGAACGAAGAAGATGATGAACAGTGGCTGAAACACCACTGTCTGGATCGATCCAGGGGCTTGGATCGATCCCCTGGGAGTAATTTTTCATAGTATGGATCGATCCAGAGGGCTGGATCGATCCCCCAAAGTTTTGATCCAAAAATTTGCCCGAAATTGCTATTTTTGAGCTCTAAAATCCTATTTTTGATACCAATTGATTATGATTATTTTAAGGATGATTCTTTACAATAAAAATGATGTTTTTTAACAAATAAAAATGTTATGTGATGCATGACGGTAAGTTCGGGTGTTAACACTAGACCGCTAATTGTTATTGTTTTAAATGTTATGTTGATTGATGATTATGATTAATGAACCTACTGATTAAAAATGAATATGTTGATGATTATGGTAATGATTATTAGTTGGTGATTATGATGATTAAATCTTGATAAATGTTTTGATTAAAAATGGTAATTATGAATGATTAAATCATAATGAATATATTGATGATTGTGAAAATAATATGTATTGTCAAGGGTATCTAGAAGACCTCTAAGATATACCCATATTAATGTTGATTTGAAAGGTATCTAGAAGAACTCTAAGATATACC